CATTGCATGCAGGGAAAGCAAAGCCATATACAGAGTAAGCGTCTATCCCAGTAAGGACAAAATGCTGCTCTTTCCATGATGAAAGCAGTCCAATGTAATCAACCTGTCACCAGGTTGCTGGCTAACCGTTTTGAGGAATGTGCCATATCGGGGACTCAGTGTCCGTCTCTGCTGCTGGTAGACTGGGCACTCAGCAGTCTTGGTGAGTGGAAGCCTGCGTTGCAGAGCCCGTGCATAACCTCCATCCCTGCCACCATGGCCACTTTGTTCATGAGCCCATTGGGCAATGATAAGAGTGGCTGGGGAAAGAATGACTGGTTTTCACAGAACGCATCATCCTACCCACTTTGTTAAAACCCTCCTCTGCCAAGGTTACCCTTTGGTGAGCATTCACAAGAGATACAAATATCTTCACTTCTGTGGCCCATTTAGAGGTCTATCCACATACCTCTTCCTTATACCTCCTTGTTACCAAGTTTCCAATTATGTTCCTTCCAAGTCCTTGGCCATCCAGCCAAACCACTGAATCAGTACAATCGCACATCTGACCATTTCTCCTTCCAAGCAAAGTGAACAACCAGGTGCACTGCTAGAAGTTCTGCCCATTGGGAGGATTTCCCCTCACCACTGTCCTTCAGGGAGGTCCCAGAAATGGGCTGCAATGCTGCCACTGTCCACTTACGAGTGTTGCCTGCATGTCACTCAGAACCATCTGTAAACCAGGCATGAGTTTTCTCTTCTTCAGTTAACTGATCATAAGGAACTCCCCATGAGGCCACAGGTGCAGACTGGGAGATGGAAAGTAATGTGACAGGGGTGGAGACTATGGGCATTTGGGCCACTTCCTCATGCAAACGTGTGCCTTTAGGTGCTGCTCAAGCCCAGTCTCACATATACTACTTTCATTTAATGATTGAGTGCTGTTGTGCACACCTAACTTAATGATTCTGTGGGTCAGACAACACCCAATTCATGACGGGCAGCTCAGGCCACATGGTGACTTGGTGGCCCCTGGTTAAGTGTTTAGTCTCCACGAAGGCCCAGTAACAAGCCAAAAGCTGTTTCTCAAAAGGAGAATAGTTATCTGCAGAGGATGGCAGGGCTTTGCTCCAAAATCTTAAGCATCTCAGCTATGATTCACCAATAAGGGTCTGCCAAAGACTCCAAACAGCATCTCTATTTGCCACTGACACTTCAAGCACCATTGGATCAGCTGGATCATATGGGCCAAGTGGCAGAGTCGTTTGCACAGCAGCCTGGACCTCTTCTATTCTAAGCCCCACTCAAAACTAGCAGCTTTTTGAGTCACTTAATAATAAGCCCGAGTAACACACCCAAATGAGGGATATGCTGTCTCCAAAACCCAAAGAGGTCCACCAGGCATTATGCCTTTTTAGTTGGAGGAAGGGCCAGATGTAACTTAATCTTCACTTTAGAAGGAATATCTGAACATGCCCCACACGACCAGGCCCCTAAAAATTTCAGGTGGAAGGCACCTGAATTTTTGTCAGGTTGATTTCCCACCCTCTAGCACACAAATGTCTTAACAGTAAGTCGTCATTGATACTTCTTCCTTACTAGGACCAATCAGCATAACGTCACCAATGTAATGGACCAGTGTGATGTCTCGTGGAGGGGAAAGGTGATCAAGGTCCCTGCAGACTGAATTATGACACAGGGCTAGAGAGTTGATATACTCCTGAGGTAAGATAGCTCAGCTTTACGGCTTGTCAGCTGAAGGCAAACTGCTTCTGATGATTCTTCAAAATCAAAATCAAGGGCAAGGAATTGGCCAAATCAATAGCTGCGTACCAGTTACCAGGAGATGTGTTAATTTTCTCAAGCAATGAAACCCCATCTGAACAGTAGCAACAATTCGAGTCACCACCTGGTTAAGTTTACAATAATCCACTGTCATGGTCCAAGATCCGTTTTTTGCACAGGCCAATTAGGCAAACTGAATGCGGATGTGGTGGGAAGCACCAGCCCTGCATCCTTCATTGAT